ACTTTGTACGCTCAGTTAGCGAATTCAGAGTTCCAAAAGAAAGTATACCCTAACTCTCTCTTCACCGCATTACTCCCCTTCGTCATAGAGTTCTCTGGGCTTGAAATCACAGGCACAGCGAAAAATTGCATATTTTTTAATGTTACGTAGAATTTAGTTTTTTTCAACAAACCATGGGCAAACCTCTATTATTTCGTGAGTATTCATGTAAATATGAAAATGGCGGGTTTTAATAGTTACATTTTTCACAAGAATTAATGTAGTTTATTTAAATTACGTTGTGTGTTTCTTGATTATTTGTTACCATGAAGCTGATGGCTCTGAAGCCAATGCCTTTTAAATAAATAAATAATAAAAAGTATTCAAGTAAACTTTTTGTAACATTACTTTCAAGTTTAATGTCAGAAATCCTGTTCCAGTTAAGGCCGCAATTTGTCGTAATATAATAATACGTAGTAATTACAATAATACGTCAATGTCAAAATCAACTCTAGCTCGACCGAAAAGTTGTAGCTTGTGTAATTTTTTAATTATTGTGGATTTGTCATTTATAGTAAGATATGAAATAAGAATTGACTTTAGAATTGTAAAATAAAATTAATTTTTAAGCCGTTGCAGCGTACAAGTCAAGAAACCCTTTAAAAGTTCTTGGTACTAGATAAAAACGCTTTGTTTTCAAAACGATGGGCGATATCGTTTTGGAGGTGGAAAATTTAGACGATGCAGTTCGTGTAAGTCGGTTTTATCAATAATAAACCAATCAGTTTCTGCAGATACTACGTTGTGAATGAATTATACAAACAAAAACATTTGTTCATAACCTAAATACGGACACCCAAAAGGAATAGCCCCCCCATCTACATGCAGCGTTATATTGATTCTAAGTCGTTTATTTGAAACACTTCTCCTTCAAAAATAATAAAATAATGGTTCATCATTTTTGAGGACATTTTACCCCATATGTGTCAGGTTTGTAGCAAGTGAAAAGCTGTAGTTTCTGCTTATCTCAATGGTAAGAGGGTGTGAAGTATATGTATCCATCATTTTTATAAAGTATTGTGTACATACTCCTACATTATAGTCTACAACACTACATAAGCTTCAACACCCACTTTTGTTCACCTAAATTAAGTACTCACCTAATATAAATATTTGAAGCCATCGAGACCGTCTCTAGCACAAGTGAAGGCACTCATAGATTTCATCCAGAAACACCCTGACCTGGCCCATAGAAAACTTCGGAATGGTGTGAGTCGACAAAAAGTAAAGAAATTGTGGGTACAATTTTCTAATATTGCAAATTCTATGGATGGAACTCTTAAGTCTACTAATGGATGGATCAAGGTAAAAATAGAGAAATTGAAATAGTGGAAAGTTTAACTGAATTTTTTTTAAATATTAATTTTAATGAATATGTGTTGCTATCATGAAATTAATTTATTTTTTATGAAACTACTCCATTTGTTTGTTATAATTATTAATACAAAGATCGAACACAAAATTGCATCTGTGCCATACCCAAGCTACTGGTGTGGCATAGATGCAATGTGGTTTTGTCAGATTGGAGATTTTTTTCTGTTCGATCATAGTAATAATTATGAGAAAATTTGTAAACAATTTCTACTTTTTTTTGTTACAAAGTTTTTCTCTGTTATTGCAATTTCTACTTAGTGTTCTATTTAAGAAATAAAACTGTTTTCGGATCTAAATCGCGTATATATTATGTTTTTTCAAACAGCCAATATTTCTGACATTTTACAGGTCCAAAGGTTACAGCTGACCATGAGGCCTGTTTAGGGTCCGAAATATTGCTTCAATTCCTATATGTAACAACACAAAAACACTTGATAGTGTTCCATTTTTACAATATTTTTTCTCATGTCAGTCTTCTCAATGCGTCACCACATATATTTATTTTGTTCTTTGTAAGACCAAACTTTGGCAAAACTGTCTACTGAATTGAACTGATCGCTTTATTGGCACATGCAGTTTCAGAGTTAAAAACATAGATGTCTGTTTCTCTTGTTTATCTACTTTTCCAAAATGTTTGTTATGATATAGGTAACTAATGTTTTAATTAAGAAACAGCAGCAATCGAAATGTAACATCTTTACTAAACATTCAGATATCCTATTATAAATTTTTGTAATATATACACCATTCCACATGCAAAATAGTGCTACAATGTAGAGTGAAAACCCAAGAAAGCCCGTTTCCCCATGCCATGTACAGTCAACACCCTAAGAAACTGACTTCCTAGCCTAACCTTTTGAGTCTGACAGCCTTCTTATGCATTCAATAGAAAAGTGTAAAGGAATTCCAGCTTATTGGTTGAAATTTGTATTTGTGTAAAGATCAAACTGGTGTAAAAGTTCTTAAAACGTTATTCACTAATGTTACAGTAAGGAAGTCATACTAAAATGAATTTTATGGCTCACATGTTAAAGGTTAAGTTTGTTAAACACCTTTCTTCACACTCATCTACTCAGAACTAATTAGACAGTTTGAGGGTCAGGTATCTTAGGATATCGACTGTACATACATGTACAATAATACCACTGAGTCAAAACAGTAACTCCTAAACATTTGTTACAGTACTGGTCAGACAAAAGAAGAAGTATCATGATCAAACAGAAGCAAGTAGAAGAAGGGAAGGTAAATGATAGTCTTGCTCCTATAGAGCAGAAAATTTATGATTTATGTCAGAGTGTTCCACCAGGGACAAGTAAGTACCCGTGAATCAAACCATGTAATAGGTGACACGATTTCTTGACCCAGGTTGTGTTATGAAATTTAAAATTAGTTCTAATTTCCTAATGAAAGAATACTGATGTCAATAATATCAAGTGACAGGACGACCAAGTCGTGCGCCTGATAGTAAGCTACACGCCTGTTCATAACAGTTTGCAGTGCCACTCAGAGCTTTAAACCTCAAAGATCTGAGGGGCCCCGCCACTGCGCCCATCACCCTGGGACAAGTTGACAAGTCCCATGTGTCTGTAATTTCACCAGCTTCCTCACCCTTGAAAACCGGAACACCGTAATGCCGACATTACTGCTTAGCGACAGAAATAGGTAAAGTGACAGTACTTCCCAGGACGAACACTTTCACAGAGAACTCTACTGGTACTAAATACACACATCAAAAGTGTCTAGGGATCAAGTGAATATTTTTGAAATAAAAATTATTTAAGCAATATTTACCAAATCCAGTCTTCCAGGACGACTTCTTACTTTAATGCTTATGTTTTATTTAACCGCTTACCCCTATATTTAATTAAAATAAACTAAAATTGATGTTTTTGCAAATTGTGGGAAAAAACTCAAATTAACGGCGTCAATTAAATGACAAAAAAATGGCGAAAATGATGATTTTGCTCATTTTTATTGTAAAGATAAGAAAATTAATAATCTATATTTCCACCATTAACACGAATCACACAATTACAGCGATTTGGCATGCTTAAGATGAGTTCATCAAAATGACTTTGAGGAATGGCCGCCCATGTGTTTTGTAACAAGTCAAAATATTGTTGTAGGGTATGTACGGTATGCATACTCGGCACAGCTCTTCTTTGAAGCATATCCCATGCGTGCTCAATTGGATTGAGGTCTGGCGATTGAGCAGGCCACGGCAGAACGTTGATACGAGCTTCGGCAAGAATGCGTGTTACGACTCTAGCCGTGTGTGGACGTGCGTTGTCATGCATTAGTTGAAATGAATCACCCAACTGGCCTCGCAAAGGGATGATAACATCTGAAACAATCCTCTCTGCGTAAACTTGAGCATTGAGGTTACCCCTGATCCAAATGAGATCGGTTCTTCCGCCGATCCAAATACCGGCCCATATCATTATTGTTCCCCCACCATATGGATGAACTTCCTGACAATATCTCAAACGTTCATGACGTCCAGATGTTCTCCAAACTCGAGTACGTCTTGTATCCGGTCTCATACCGAAGCGGGATTCATCCGAAAAGCACACATAGCGCCAGTCTTCTTCCTCCCAGTTTCTGTGTTCGCGAGCCCATCGTAAACGGGTCCTGCGATTGCAGGGTGCAATAGGTGGAACTCTGAGCGGCCTTCGGGATCGCAGACCCACTTCACGTAAACGATTTCGGATTGTTTGATCGCTTATTAGCAAGCCTGAGGAGCTGTGGAGCCTCGTAACCACCATCATGGCGGTCATGGTACGATTCCGTCGAGCAGTATTTTGGATATACCGGTCCTGTCTGCGAGTCGTGATGCGAGATCGTCCTCCATGTCGCTCGGCCACGCTGCCCGTCATGCGATAGCGCGTCCAGAGGCGACTTATGACGCTCTGTGTAGTGTTAAGAGTGAAAGCCACAGCACGTTGCCTGGAACCAGCTTCCAACATTCCGACGGCTCGCATCATCACTTCTCGGGTTAAATGATGTCGTCTCTCCATAATAATGTAAATTGTTTCGGTTCCGATGCAGATACAATATCTGATGATGAATGATTTTGTCAAAACGCTATAATTCATTTTTATACAAAACCACATTGACAATCGATTTTCTTCTTATTATCGAATTTTAAACAATATTCCTTATTTAAATGTTAAAACTCACTAAAAAGTATCAATAGCGATACAAAAAAGTTAATATAATTAACCCTAATTGCAGCAATACTCTTAAACGTACTTGATCCCTAGACACTTTTGATGTGTGTATATGGGGTATACACACATGCAAATATATACCCCATTCTACATGCAAAATAGAGCCACATTGTCGTTTTATTATAATACTATTTTTTAGCTTGTTGATTGAATAATTTAATTTAAAATAATAATGTAATGCTTGTAAGAAAAATCGAAACCTTCCGCGGAATGCGCGAGCATTTTCGAGCATGAACGAAATATTTTGGCTCGTATCTAGTTTGTATGTTAATAATTGACTATACACACTTTGTATTTGCACATTGAGAAGAATTCGCTTCCATTCCGTTCCGCCGCAATATAAATTGAGCCTTAGAGAGTAACGCTGCGGAAGGCGCCGATATGCGCCGGGATCCATCGGTATGCACCAGAATCCACCGGTATGCACCAGAATCCACTGGTATGCGCCAGAATCCACCCAAGTGCGCCCCGGCGGAGGCATAAGATCCTTCTCGATGCTCTCCCTCGCCGCCGCCGCGCCGCTTTGTGCTGACTCTTACAATTACAAATATTTACAGAGAAAAAGAAGGGTATAAAAACAGAGCCATTTAATGGTGATGATGATGAATCAATGGACGAACTATTCCCTGATAGTGACGACCTGGAGCTGACGAACATGGACAACAGTAGATTGATGCCCACGGATAGTGAGGAGAGGCAACTAAGTATGATGGAAAAGTTGGTAAGTTTTTTATATAGGTAGATTAGTTGTAAAAGCAGATAAGTTTTGAGGTCGTCATGTTGTAAAATTTCAAAGCACCAATATCTAGTTAAAATATTATAAACATTATGACTAGGTAATTAGCGCCTTTTTTAAAAGGTTATTAGGGACCATAAGTAACAATTGTAACATCTATTCTACATAAGGAGATCAATAAAATAATAATAATAATAATAATAATAAATTTCTTTATTTCGGACTAAGTCCATAAGGGTTAGTAACAAAACACTTAAAAATAGGGTTAGTATTACAAATAGCTTATTTTACAATTTATTATTATAGGCCACAAAACCAATGTGCATCCTAGACCAGTGATCTAGAAAGCAACTCTGTACACGGTTTGCAATTATACTCAGGAGGCTGTTATCGCCGCCCCGAATCCTGCGCAACAAAGAAGCCGCCCTTTTTCGCATGATAGCTGAAAGCCATCTAAGCGAGTCACGGCGAACATTCCCGATGCACTACAAAATCGAGGCAGCTTCAACAGCATCCTGAATAAATTATTGTACAACACACGGAGAGAGCTAAGATCTTTTTGGGTATAATTGACCCATAAGCTACATGTATAAAATGACTGACAGTACGCCTTGAACAACATAAGTTTGACATCGTCAGTACACCTAGCAAACCTACGAGCCAACATGTTGCCCCTCACTGCTAGCGCCCTACGCTCCCTTTCAATATCTAAATCGTCCTTTAAAGTCTCAGAGACCCAGTGCCCTAGGTACTTAAATTCGGTGACTATAATAATAAACTATAGTAATAAAATGATTAAGTATTGAATATAACGTAACAAAATGTTATTAAATCAATGTATTCTATAAGTTTGGGTTGGTACAGATTACAAGTAGGTGGTACCTGCAATGATTAAAACATTTTCTAAATGGTGGTGGACGAATATATTGTATTGGATTCGCCAAAAAGTCCCTGCAGTATCAAAGTATAAATGAAAAACAAATAAAATCAATTATGTATTGGTCAACTTATGCTATGTTGAGTGTATGCGTTATTATATTATTATTATTAACTTAATCTACAATCTTTTGTCATCTTTCGGGTTACTTTTTGAATTCCCTTTCATAGCCTTTACTCATTACTAAAGTAATAAAGCACAGCTCTTGTGTCATTTGACGGCTTCTTCGTTATCAAAGTCGTCAATTCAAAGAATTTAGTATAGATCGAAACAAGTGAAACTCTGAATAGAGGCCATGTCGACCGAATACGGTGGATAAAGGAACAAATCCCAACCTAGTTAGGTTGTTATGTTTTTGACGGCTTTGTAAAAGTGTGTGTGGTTTGGCATTATCATGATGAAATACGACACTAGTTACCAGCTCTGGGCGTTTTCATAAATTATAAACTTAAAACTTTCCCGCCTATTCTTAAAATGCTCGCTAAAATATTTTAAAATGACCATAGACATAACATTTAAAATTACACAAATTACAAATAACATTTAAAAACAAAAAAGTTGTTTTTTTTTTTAATTTGTATATATAATAATTTTTAATTGATATTCAACTATTTTTTGTGAAATTATTCCATTAGTAATAATAATTATTAATACAAAGATCGAACACTCAGAAAAAATTCCTTCGATCCGGCCGGATTCGAACCGACGTCTTCTAGCATGCCGTGATAGACCGGCACGGTATGCTAGAAGGACGGCTCCAGGGCCGGTAGCTGTAAAGGTATCTAACTGGGTGATAAAACTTTCATAGATTTCTCATAGATAGCGCTACGACTAAAAAGTCGTTGAAAAACCAAATACAAAGACACGACAACAAACACATAGAAAAATTCGTGAGGTCCGCCGGTTCGTTCCGTGGCTTAGTTGGTATAGCGTCTGACACGGTATGCTAGAAGACGTCGGTTCGAATCCTTCCGGATCGAAGGAATTTTTTCTAAGTTGTTTTTTGTTTAAAGTTAGCTAGTGGTGCAAACCGCACAGATTTTTTGGCTAATCCATTGATCTTATAAATGTAAAAAGGCTAACCCATTATAGTAGCCCATATATTATCAATTGTTTCCGATTAATAAGTTTAATGAGTGCAATAACAACTACAGTCTAGTTCATGGTTGTTTGTCCATCTTTATCGTGAAGTTGTTTTCAGGTTGAAGTCATGGATCAACAAGCTCAAGCAATAGCACAGGTGGCGCAAGCTACGCATAGTAACTCAAAAGCGTTAGAGAAATTAGCTGATGCGTCTCATGTGCAGGTAATTTGAATTAATTAAGCGTAGGTTTTGGGTTGTACTCCATTTGTCAGCAAACTTTGACATTAACACCTCTTTTTTACTTGATTTCCTCAGCAACAACAGAAGTGATTAATTTTTCTTTTATAAATGTTATTAGTTAAAAACTATTTATTAAAATCAGAATGACAAATTTAATCTAATCAGGCTGACAAACTTCGTAAGTTGGTTTTAGAGTGTAAATTACGGAGTATTTTGAGGACAGTAGAGTGTAAATTACGGAGTATTTTGAGGACAGTAATAATTGATCCATACAATTGTTATGAGTGCTCTACAACTCACAAACAACAAACAAAACATTAATGAAAAGTATGAGTAATTAACACTTAAAAGAAAACACTCATCATCATCATCATCAAATTTAAGAGTTATACTCTTGTCGGTGCAGCATCTTCCAGTCATCTCTCTTGTAAGCCAGCTCCTTGACCTCTTTATATGACACGACACCGGCCTTTTCCTTTATTTGGTCTATACAACTGCGCCTAGGTCGATCTCTTCCTCTCTTCCCCTCGATCTTTCCCTCCAAAATAGTGTTACACTCATCATAAATAAAAATATTTCTTTATCAGGCGTTGGCTGTGGATCGACTGGCAGGGACATTTGAGAACATAAATTCTTCGGTTCACGAAGTACGAAACGCGATTGTCAGCATCGACTATACCATGAAGCAATATTATTCAACTTCCGCTACTCAAAGACAGACTTCTAATTTATTTAGCTAGGAGCTTCTTTAGCGTGTTACTTGGATTGAAAAGTGATCTCTGGCTCTTCCTGACTACGCTATTTTTTTCTTGTAGGAAGTTCAATTTTGTTACGTACATAAGATGATATCATTGTATGAATTATCTACTTTGCATTATCATGAGCAATGACGTGATATTAAATCGGTATGTTAATAAAAGTTTCTAGTTAAAAAGCCTTTGTTTCTATGTTCCAATTTGGTAATCTATCGTTATACTATACTTCTTATACTGGGTTTGTCTTAAATTCAAAATTTTAAGAGTCAATAATAGTTTGAATACCTGTTACGCTCTACTATCTTATCGCGTTTATGTATGATAAGCGTCGTTTTATCAATACTTGTATCGTTGTTCTATATTTCAATGAAAATATGCGTCATCGGACATTAAAAATATGTACTAGACACGGTAAACATAATGTAAGCAACTTTCGCAGAAATGAAAGTAAATTGTAAAAAATGGAGTTAAGAATTTATCTTGTGTTACTAATTATCGGTGTTAATGGAAGCAGGGACTTGTGCCCTAAGGAATGTGACTGTGATATAGAGAATGGGCTGAATAGGGCGACGTGTGTGAATCAACATATAGTGAATGTAGATGTGGGAGTGCCCACTGCAGTGCAAGTGTACAGTTTGAGCAATAATGCTATCAGTGAATTGGATAACTATTGTTTTAAGGTAAGACCTTGGTAGGTGTACTTATCGATATAGCTAGTTTTTGAAACTATGACTCTAAATTGTAGTATAATTTATCTTTGTTATAAAAGTTGTGTATGTACAAATCATATCGAATTGTTTGTGCACCAATAGTAATTTTCATAATTACTTTTCGATTGTACAGATAAAATGTTCATTTATGCCTACTTCAGGAAATTGGATACACTTCAATACAGATCCTGAACTTATCATACAATTTAATATTTTGGATTGGACTCCACGCATTCGCTGGTCTGCACCACTTGATCCACCTGGACCTGCACAATAACCGCCTGAGGCATATATCCTCGGAAACCTTCTGGGATACACCGGAGTTAGAGGTCCTGGATCTGTCGTCAAATGTCTTCGAATCGCTTAGAAATGAACCCTTTTTAATGCACACCAAATTGGAGGTAACTTGTGTCTCAATTTTTCTAATATTTTTCTTCCCAAGTATTGTTGGTCCCAACATTCTGTATAAGAGCCTCGTCGGGTTCTTAACACATTTCCATTTTAGATTCCCTATATCTGCTACCTTGACTGTTTTAGAACACATACCAACATATACCAATATACTGCTTGAAATTGCGCTGGACTTTGACCATGATAAATGTGTTTTGCAGGTGCTCAATTTACAAAATTGCCGAATCAAAGCCCTACCAGAAAGAATGTTCAATCGTCTACCAAATTTGAAGAAGTTAGATTTAAGTCATAACTACATGGTCACTTTAAATACAGAAGTGTTGCAACCACTTCCCAAGCTAGAAAGAGTAGAACTGAAGAACGAGTATTGGAAATGCGATCCGCCCTTTATTGCTGCTGAATCTTGGATCGTATCTCACGGAATAATGTACGAAAAGATTTGTAAAAACAGAACGCCAAAAATGTTCGAGAAAATTATATCAGCTGTTACTCCTGAAAAGGAAGAAATTGACGTGAATAACGTATGGAACATAACGAAAGATAAAAATGATTCTGTTGTACCAATATCGAAACCAACGACACCGCTGACTCCATTTCAGAAATTCGACAAAGAATTTTCATCTTTTAAAGCACTAATATTGGGCATGGAAATAGGACTAGGACTCGGTATAGTAGGGACCTACATTTGGTTACGTTCGCTTTGTAAATGTGGACACTGTACAAGGCCAAAATCTAGACGAGAAAGAAGACGGGAGCGTAGGGCAGATGCCGAAGTAAGAAATAGTTTACTATGGACTACTGTTATACACCCAGATTTGGAGACTCCTCCTGTATTCCGCAGACAACCATCGTTGCCTGACGAAAATCCGCCGTATCCAACGTACGGGCTGCCGAGCGTTGTCGAAGCTGGACTTCAAATAGATGCCATATGTTTACCCGATAGAGCTGAAACTCCGCCGCCTGCGTATAGTGAATGTCGTATGTTATATGGTTCCTAATTTGTGGGACATTCAAAAGTAGAATTATAAAAGTGATTTTACGTAAGAGGGAAGGAGTACCGTGTGATTATGCATCGTTGAAGTGTTGATCAAGCATGAATGACGTAAACGTTGTGCATAAGAAAGTATATATACTGTGGCGTTGCTTTCTTAATTACATTACAATTGAGGATGACTTTGTGACCACGACCAGAGCAAGATGTTCGAAACATTAAGATAAATAGGTAGGTGTGCAATACCTATTTATGACCGTTCGTAATATTATTAGAACCTATGTATTTCTTAATTAGAGACTTTATTTTGAGGGCACTAAGTAATTTATTAAAACAAAAGATATGATTATTATTGAATATTTATTTCATAAATACCATTATCACATTTTGTTAAAACATAGCTCTATATGTTCTGTCATTTCGTTATATAAAATTTATAATAATGCTAAATCAGACTCATAGAATTTAATATAAATTCTCTGAATGTTAAGGAGATATAATTTGGGTAACTACAGTTTTTGTACATACGAAACACAACCGCGCGGCAATCATATGCTGGCAAATTACTAAATATATGGCATATCTAAGCAATTGTTTGTTTTGTCATAAAAAGTTTATACGAGTTAATAATAGTTATAACAGGCTCTCTTTCATTAAATTCTATTTGTAAATTATTAATGTAAATAAAATAAGGAATGTACGTTTCATATCATGTACGTAGTTTCATTTTCGATAGAGAATATTTAATACATTTTGGCTTATAAAGGAACAATGTACAGAAAATAATACGTAGAAAATACACTCAAGATAAGCTTATAAAAACTTAAAATACATCAAGATATATTAAATTTAATATAAAAAAGCTCAATTCAAAGTCAACGAGTTTAAAAAGTGCTCTATATAAAAATAGTATAAAAGTGGAAATTTATTACACCATTCGAGTTCATTATTTTAGAATCTAAATTTTGTACAATGTACGCAATCAGGCACATAAATGGCATGTCCTTTGTTTCTTACTCACACTTAATAAAACACCAAACTTCTTAAATACTATATTAAATGTCGTTGATTGCGTGATTAATTAACGTATGTCACATTATACGTTATTTCACAAGATAAATACACCTAGAAGCAAATTCGATGTTCGCGACTAAGTTTTTATTTTAACTAAAACAGTGTCCAATTTTAATAAAGCTCAATTTGTTGCCGTAGGGCACTCATCTTTGACGATGTTCACTTGTGACGATGCTCACCTTTATCGTCATACCACTTTTTATCATCTTTTTCTATTATCTGGTCACTTATTTTCAAGAATTTTGATGGTAGTGACGACTGATAGAACAAACATAGGAATAGTGCAGGAAAAGGGAATTCGAAAACGACTCAATATTTAAAAATTAAACGTGGCCAGGAACCAGAAAAGAGGATGATAAAAAGGTGGGATGACGATGAAGGAGGTTAGCATAGTCACATCTTTAGTATTTTTGTATACACTATTGACTATCTTACTTTGTATTCTAGCTCATTTTCGAAAATGAAAAAGACAAAATTGACAGTTATTTCGGTTATGTTCTAGTTAACATTCACTGCCTAATCTCCGTGACAGTTTCTATTATTTCAGTATTCGAGTTTATTATCAATGAAATATGCCACGAAAATTAGTTAAAGAACAGCACTAATCCCGAGAATGACGTATTTATGCAACTAAACTACGTCTTCAAAGTACGTAATATAGACAGACTTAACAATATGTTTCGCAGTCATAGGTAATAACTATAGGTACGTAATTTACTTATATGCGTTTTCGAAATGATCAGTTTTCCAATAAGTTAAACTCACACGTCGTTTAAACTCACTCTTCGTTCTCAAGCGCCAACTGGCTAATGTTGACGTAGTCGGGGTGTTGCGAAAACACATCAACGAGGTTGCTAAACGTCGGTCTATTGTCCGGGTTATATGCCCAGCAGTCTAACATTACTTGGTATATTTCATCTGGACAGTCCTTTGGTCGTTCAAGACGTTTGCCGTTTTCAACTAATTGTATTGCCTGTAAAGAATAATTATGGATAGTAGCAATGCTGCCCTCTTTATCATAACTAACGTAATCAACATTTTTATTCCAAATTGAGTTATTCACAGAGCTCCTTGTGAAAAAGTTCGTCCCGAGAGGTACTGCCACCTTAACTATTTCTGCCGCCATTACTGTGTTCAGGTTTTGAAAGGTAGGGGTGCTGGTGAAATTACAGGCACATGGGACTTGCCAACTTATGTCTCAGGGTGATGAGTGGCGCAGCGGCATTGTCTCTCAAATCTTTGCGATTTAAAGCTCGTGAGTGGCATTGCAACTGTTATATGCAGGCGCTTACCACCAAGCCCACGACTTGTTCATCCCGTCATTTGGTGTTATAGAAAAAAATCTACAACCCCCTATAAGCAGTTTCTTTATAACTCATTTAGTTTCAGTTTTATTGTTAAGCGATAACAGCGTAATTGCCATTTTTCAAGGAAAAAAAAACTAGGTGCCAATATTTCTAAGTTACCAAAATGTAAAAGCGTTAGTTATGACAAGGAGGGCCGCATGGTAGCCCATTGGGAGAACGGCTTCTCAATTGTGAGGTTGACAGTTTGAATCCTTGTGACGCGTTTAAATTCCAAGTTACGTACATTATTTTGTGTTTAGTAGCAATACTAAACATTTACGCTAACGTTGAAGGAAAACATCGTGATGAAATCAACATGTCGAGAAAAGTTCACAACCCATGGATAACTGTGAAGTCTCGGACTATGGCCTAAAGTAGACTCGTGCTTATTGATTGTATTAGATGATGTTGCTTTATGGATTATTCATTTAATGATATGATTTCAGCTGTAAATTTTTTTTAGAGTACGATAAAAATTGTGAAATTTGTGTGGAAACTTAACTATAATAGACGACATCTGATAGTGATTTTATTATAGTTATTATTGGAATCGATAAAGAACAAAGAAGTTTGATGTTGGACCTATCTAATTTGTTCCTCCTCGTATCATATTTTAGAATGTTTATAGCTTCCTAATGTTCCTTCAGCTGTAATAAGCTAATATATTCTCTTATTGGAAGCAATTAATTTACAAAAATAATATAATTTAAAAACATTGGAAGAGATGACACACAATTTTTATATTTAATCTTATCGCCAGGGATTAAAATAATAGGAAGTAAATGCCTTTGTTCCTTCAATGTTCATTTCTGATTATACCTAGACACGACTACACAAGAACAAACATATTTCTGGTAGAGGTGTTTAGTTCTCATAACAAAATTTTCATTCACAACTTTTGTATCTATGGCTCCGTCGTTTTGCGCGACGATTTCGTTTCATTGTCATGGAATTACAAAGTGTAAATCATTGTTTATCATTCCATAACAATAAAACCTTCTTTCATTTTGTAATTCCATTACCATAAAAACTTTGTTATTGAAACTAAAAATCTCACTAAAAATCGGCTCTCAGACTACAAAGTTTTTTTTTAATGTTAGTTAAATCAATATACTGACCTCAATTCCCCTCATATCACCATAAGGCTGAGCACCATAAGAGAACATCTCCCATAGCGTAATGCCGTAGCTCCACACGTCACTCGCGTGACTGAATGTACCATAGTTGTACGACTCCGGCGCATACCATTTGATAGGCCATTTTCCACCGCGGCTAGCTTTATAGTACGAACTGTCTGTAGACAACGCCCGCGATAAACCAAAATCGCTTATTTTAGCTTGATGCCTGTAATAAACAGATTGACTAAATGAAAAACATATACAATTGTACAATCATCCACAGATTGCTACAAAAATACAAATTGTTTAAATAAAGCAGAATCGTTATCGGATAAAATGTACAATACATATAAAGAAAATTATTAAACAAAGAAACTGCAACTTTACAAAGTACATTTTTAAAGATAAATAGTGACCTACTACAGTGTTATAGTATTGTTAATACATTAACAGCTTTCTCGAATTTGTGTTTACAATTGAATACAGTATAACAAACGAACGTTGTTTTACGGTTGAGGGTTACTGATCATGAGACCTATAAAAGTTTGTTCGAAAAAAACAAATATACGCGATTTAGACTCGAAAAAATAGTTTCATTTGCAATGTGTAGCAATCGCGAAAGCCTAAAAACGAATTAATATATCCATTTCTGTAAATTAGCTTAGGACAAGCAGTGGCTATTTAAGGAAAGTAAGCCGACGTAGATGTTACGCTACAAGTGCGGCAAAGCAAGACTTTTTTGTTCAATACCTAACTAGTAAGTTGGATAATAAATTCTTAGGCAAGCCGAGACAAGCTAATGGGGATCCTACTAGATGAACCCTTCATTGTTGAGAAAGATTACAACTTAAAATCCTATTACTATCGTGAAATTTTGGTAAAACTTCAGTTTTTAGGCCCATTAAGGCTCAATTTATATTGCGGTGGAATTCCGCGGAAGATTTTGGCTCGTATCTAGTTTGTACGTTACATTATTGACCATACAGTTCATTATACTATGTACAATGTCGTTGCAAAAATTAGCTTCCATTCCGTTTCGCCACAATATAAATTGAGCCTTACTGAACTTGTAAGACTATAAATATGTAATACTTGAAAGTTATCATTATCAGAGAAAAGGTCAAATAATTTATGGCACAAGCTTCCATAAAACTTGACATCCAATGAATTTTAATAGATTGGTATATTAAGTTTGTTTTAGCTAAACAAATTATATTTATTCAAGAAAATATTGTTTCAAATGTCGGATTGACTGCAATCAATATTGAACTTACCTGCTAGCAAGTAAAATATTCCTAGCTGCCAAATCTCTATGGACGAACCGTCGTCGCTCCAAGTATCGCATACCAGCGGCAACCTGGCAGGCCCAAAGCCGCAGCTCATAGCTTGGTGATGCCTTCTCCGGATGACGTATTAGGTACTCCAGTAGGGATCCCAGAGGCACCAATTCTTGCACCATTGCTAGCGGTGGACCCTGAAATTGAAGTAAATAAATTGTTTTTATACATTTCTTAGTGAAATTCAACTACTAAGTAAAACTCTATACCTATTGTAAGAGGGGTACTTTAAATCTCACATGTTCCGATATCATATCTACAACATTTACATTCATACACCTGTTTACCACTGGGGCAGACAGAGACTACAGGCCTCTACAATACACAGGGTTATTTGCAAAATACTAACAACCTCGCAGGACTAATAAATATACTCATAAATCTTATATTTATTTATTTATAAGACTACATGACTGACATCGTAAACAACAACTTTTGTTCCATTACTTTTTACAAAACAATAAATTTATCAAAAATAACCTTTTACATTTTTGTTGTACTATCAGACATTTTTTAGATCTGTATTTGGCTATTGCCAAATAAATTTATCATTTATTAATGATAAATGATAAATTTATGTGCAGAGATGTAATGTACATATTCATAACAATAGGTTCTCATACCTAGCTGGTTACAGCATGCAAATTTATATTAAATTTAATGTTAATATAAAATAACCGTTAATGACATTAAAATATTGCAACTATCAATTTACATTTTAATTATCTACAACATATTTTTGCGGTCAAAGTAAAGTAAAGTCTTGAACGGAATAAAAGCAACAATTAGACAACCATGCGGTTAACTTTCTTCGGAACATAACACTAGGCATTTCTTGAAATTCAGGCAGTAAGAAATTATAAATTTTTACACACATATGAAAATAGTTACGCTGATACACTTCCTTTTTATTATTAACTGGTACAGTAAGTCTGTCTGGGAACCTTGTGTTGAATGAAGGCTCATGATGCTTGAACAAAGAAGGGTTTTGTTTTACAAAATTACTACTATGTACCTAGTAAGGTCAAACGTGCAAGCGCCCTCCCCGACGACCCCCTACCCCGTGCATTTTGCATCGCACTGGTATTTACGCTAACGCTTTGATTTGTTACAGCACAAAGTTATCATCTTTTAGAGCGAAGTAAAATCTGCTGAATTATTAAGGAACAAAAGTTGTTACTTATGATGTTATCCTGTGAGGTTAATATTTTACAAATAACAGTGTATATAAACGAAATTTTAATATTGCTTGTAGGTGTTTGTAAATAAATATAGAAGGCAGTCTTAACCGAACACTGGAGTTTGATTGACGTTCCCACGTATCCAAACCAAACATGGCGCAGTCGGTACTACCGTGATTTTTTCTTAACGATGAAAAATTTGCAAAATTAATTAATTCAAATATGAAGTGAAGTGTAAACGTACATATTATCTATAAAAGTAACTTGAAATATTGAAAGTGAAAAGAAAAGGTGAAATATTAATGATGGAGTCAGTTTTGCAGCCACCGCGGCCGTTTAATTTTGAAAATAATTTGGTTAACGTAACGTCTGGCAATTTGTGTACCGAGTGGGAAAAATGGAAGAAAGCATTCAATATTTACTTCGAAGCCTGCGAATTATCACAAAAAGATCCAAAAGTACAAATAAATATATTGCTGCACGTAATTGGTGATAAATGTCGCGAAGTATACGAGCAATTCACAGGAGAAGTCAAAAATATTAAAGAACTACTTTTGAAATTCGATAATTTTTTCATACCGAAAAAAAATTTAGCAGTTGAGAGACAAAAATTCTTTAAAAGAGACCAAAAAGAATTGGAATCAATAGAACAATACGCTTTTGAACTTAACAAGATTGCCTCAAAGTGTGAATTTAAAACCCTATGCTACGACCTTGTCTGCAGTAGGTTAATATGCGGAATTCAAGATGTTGCATTATCAGAACGATTACTGAGAGAACCAGAAATAACACTTTCAAAAGCAGTAGAAATTTGTAAATTATCAGAAATGTCGAGAATGCAAGCTATGAATATGAAATCGGAGAATCATCACGTACACGAGTTAACACAATGTAATAACAAGCAGCAGGATCACTTCGACATTCATGCCATCAATCGCCGCCAGCCGATGTCTAGTCGCGGCCGTCCCCCGCGGGTGCACTTTCCGCCGCCGGCACAGGTCACTCGTTATCGTACAAACCGTGAGCGTGAGTCATCACCATCAACGTCGATATTCCGCTCGCAAGTAAACAACAACTCAAGGTCGCAGAAAATGATTAAGAATTGCGGATATTGTGGCAGAACGCATAAGCGAAATGAGTGCCCAGCATACGGTCAACGGTGTAACAAGTGTCAACGTCAAAACCACTTTTCCCGTATGTGTCGGGTGTATACGGTACAGGAGGATTCTTCTGATCAGGCAAGTCGCAAATGTTTTGTTATTGATAGTCATGTTAGTAGTGATTGGGTAGTGAAATTAGATATACGCGGACAAAAGATAATTTTTAAGCTGGATACCGGAGCGGACGTGAATGTTTTGCCAAAGCGATATCTAAAGTTAATTAATATATCGGAAAACGATTTAACCGGGTCTTCAACACGCTTGCAGGGTTATTCTGGCATGGATATTGTGGTACTAGGTGAATGTTACTTAAAAGTTGCACATAAAAACAATCATTATTTTTTAAAATTCATTATAGCCGACGTAGATTCACCTCCCGTATTAAGTAAAAGTTCATGTGAAGAGTTAAAATTGATTAAGAGAATTTTATCTTATATATTTTATTTATTATTGATTAAGGGAACATTTTGCGATATCCGACTATAAGTCCTGTAAAAGTGCATATAGAAGCATACCAAGGAGACTCCAATAAGGCGTACAATGCACCTATGTCGCAACGACATCATAAGTTTTGCTTCAGAAAGGAATTCTCTCTTATTGGTGTCGGTGTGTTGCATGTGAAGCGTTTTAACGGCCACCGGCTGTGACGTCTGCTCTGGAGTATTGTACGTAGCGCGGAGGACTGAACCAAATTCGCCTTCGCCGAGTACTGCTCCCAGGGTTAGTTCGGACATTGGAATGAATTCTGTGAACAGTTAAAGCAATGTGTAAAGGATTGTATGACCGGATTAGGTACTAAAGATGAATGGGCAATGTTTTATTATATAAGTGAATGTGGCTAACTGAAACTTCTCGCAGTGTTTTACGATAACATGATAAACATTATCATATTATAAACTATTGATATTAATTGACTTTTTTAAAGTCACGATAATGAACAGACTTTATTCACTAGTCAGAGTTAACTGGAAAAGATCTTTTCTAGAGATAAGCTCACTTTTGTATACGATTTTATCATGTTTTTGTTAGCAACGCAGAATTATTATTATTGTCGAGTATTGCAGTTCTTTGCTAATTTTGTCAAATTTCATGATCAATACTTAGTGCCATTTTGTTTGGCTACAGTTGTCGCTGGCGACCATGTAAGATATTTCACAATTTTGTGTAGCAAATTGTATAGCGCCCCTAGCGGACACATGGAAAAGTAATATACAGGGCGTCTAACGGCTATGGGACGCGGAGGGAAAGTATTTTAAATGCTGTAGCAATTTCTTGTAATCAATTTGTAGTAATTTTTGTTGCCCATTTGTTTTATTAATCGGAACTGACATTGGCAACAGCCAATGTCAGTTCCGATTAATATTATCAGCTAATATTGATCAAGTACGCCAACGTTTAGGCAGCAGCAAGGTACAGTGGGCATTTTGAAATAGGTTTCAAAATAGCCACTGTTAAGATGGCCATAGCTGTGAGACGCCCTGTATATATATATTTTTATATAATGGCTCTCAATTATTTTGTGCCAACGTCAAAGCAAAAAGAAAACAGACACTAGACGTGAGAAAAATAAAAAAAGAATAAGAAATCGAGTTCTTAGGTTTTCGCGATAGTTTCACATGGGAAATGAAACTATTTTTCCGGATTTAAATCGCGTATATTTCTTTTTTCAAACAAACCGACGTTTCGTGCCCCTTACAGGTCACCACGGGACGTGTAGAGAAATATACGCGATTTAAATCCGGAAAAATAGTTTCTATTTCTAAGAATAAGAAAAATTATCACGAGAGCAGAATACGCGGTCGCTAGCACCGATTATCATAGTATATTTATGATTTCCAGAATGTGTATTCTTATTATGCTAATGGGTAGCTGAAAAGTGTACCTACTATACAAAGCAATAACATTGAAATTACCACTCACCTTGCAGTGTGGAGAGCTGGCCTTCGGAGTTAATAGAAATTTCATTATAATTCTCAGCAAGAGTGACTACGGCACTGTTATTCGCAGGCACTTTGTACGTATCATTGTCATCACCACCTTCGTTATTGTTTAAACTATCATTGTTGAAGTCTGATGAAAATGAGAGGTTTCTTGTTAGGAGTTCAAAGGCGTTGTTATTGGAGAAAGGATGAATTGGAGCTGAGTTAGGAAGTGTCGTGTCTTTGTCGTTGAGGATATCGTGCTTGACTAGAGATAACGTCTGATTCATAGCTGCGCGGCTCGGCGATGGCTTCTTGGTACGAGGCATAGTTGAGAACTGGAAAGTAAGAATTAAGAAACTTGAGTGATGAACATAAAAATACAATTATTCAACCTACTTTCGACAATTGTTGTATTCGCACGCCCGCAAAAGTTTTTGAAGTATTAGATCCTGGCTATTTTCCTCCCCACATTAGCAATGCCAGTCAATATTGCGCACTCAATATACGGTAATGCGGTTAAAGCCCAGAATGCGTTTCATTGCCCTCTGGCACATCTTGAATTAGACCAAAAGGGTTAAGACTATTATAATCCAATTGCAATAAAATTTCCGCTTGTTGCTTTACCGAGGCTCGTAAAAGTTTTTTAAGTTGGTACGACAGCTATTGACCCTTTTTATATAGTAAATAAAATCGTTTTTATCACACTTACTCGTAAATAGTATGATTGCATGGTGGCCAACTAGACTATAATGCCCCAAATAAGACCCTCGGGCCTTTTTTCTTCCCATTACAGCAATGGTCGGTAAGACTTTTAATTTGTAGTACGACATACTTCCTTACACAGGTCAGGTTCGAGTTCAAGCAAGGAGGTTACTTAAGTTCAAAATTAAAACATCCACTTAATATGTTATCTAAACAGAAATAAGAACTGCTTATTTTCTGATTTTAATTATTTTCTGTATAAAAATTTTGCAAACTTTCTTTTTACAGTCCATCACGGTTATATGCGTCTTTGCTTTATATAACATTTTAGTTCGAGTTGTATTATCTATGGAAGAATAGCTAGCAGGTCATCTGTTAATAATGGCTGACATTTTTAATGGAATCCAATAAGTCAATGAATCCAAGAAAGAAATTTACTCCCAGTCTTGGCTGTATGGCGCATTAGTGCCTTTGCCTTTTCCAATGGAAAAAACAGTGCCAAAAAAAATACTTCCCTTTGCAAAATCCATAATTGTTGTGTTGTGAACATTATTTATTCATACAAGAAACAAACATTGTATTTATTTCTTCGCAAATGTGAAACATTGTAGTATCACGGCCGGTAAAAAAATACAAAACTCGAGTTATCTTCTTCTTCTTTTAAATGTTATGGCTCCATCGAAATAATCAATGATTTTGCCAATGTCAAGTAAAAATAACTATGTACGGTAGTTTAATATTATTATAAAAATTATACAAAAAAAATTGGCGGTTGCGCCAATGTCCTGTTAACTCGAGTTATTAAAGCCATCAGTCTTCGATTCACTGACGTTTAATACAGAATGCAGTATTATTACTATATAAAAAGGTTGAGATATAAATAATTTCAACACACCAATAAATAAATATAAAAGCTACTTTACACATAGAGTTTAGTAACAGACACATAGAGTTTAGTAATTGACAACAGTGGTGGGAGATAAAAAAAACTTTAGCTCAGCAAAATGGCAGAGTGTTTCTCAGCGTTAATATTCTGCTACAACCAGCCATGTTAAAAAAAAACTAACACACATTGTTCCAGTTCGAATATTGCCAACAGGTTATTAAATACTGAGCACAAAATGATGAGTTTTGTAAAGCTATTAATATTACACACAGAGCAATATCCACACATGACTACACTACAACACCTACCTCCAAGGTTTACCGAGACAAGAACCAGTTAGAACATTTCTTAAGGAAAGTACGTTGTGAGAAAATATGACTGTTTATTTTAGAAAATATTCAATTGTACTCTTTTATTTTGTCTTATCATGAAGATTATTTAGAAACACGGTACGCTGTGTCTAGGTATTGCATAAACGGCCTTCATAAGATACAAGACAAGAAGTGACAAGACAAATATTTAGTTGAATTTCAGTTATAGTTTTACCAGAAACCTTATGGAAAAAAAATCCTTTGATTGAACTTATCATTAACACGACTCAGAGGCATGACGGCTTGGGTACGATTTCCACCGAGGGTTTGAACCACTAAATTCTTTCGAAATTTGTATTGTTTACTTCACTAATGCATTACTTATTTGAACGGTAAATTAAACCTTGTAACGAAATTTGCATGATGGAGAAGTTTTCGGGAATGTTTATATAATTAGTTTTTGTTGCAATAGAGCTCCTTGTGAATAAGTTCGTTCAGGGAAGTACTGCCACCTTAGATATTTCTGTCGTTAAGCAGTAAAGTGCAAGGAGGCTGGTGAAATTACAGGCACATAGAACTTGTAAACCTATGTCTCAGGGTGACGGGCGTAGTGGCAGGTTCCTCAAATCTTTGCGATTTAAAGCTCCGAGTAGTGTTGCAACTGTTATGAGTAGGCGTATAGCTTACCACCAGAGTACCCCTTATTCGTCCCGTCGCTTGATATCATAATAGTACATTGTGTATTAATAAGTAAAGTAAAAGTAAAATAGTAAGGCGGTAAGTAAGGAATTACGAACGAGACTCTATTAGAAGCCTGAGATCAAAGACTGAACTTTTGGAGTCGAGGTTCGTAATACCTGTACCGCCCGTGAAACATACAATGTTTTTCCATTACACTTGCACGTAACTAGTATGATTGCATGCAAGCCAACTTGACTTTGATGCCCCAAACAAAACTCTGTAATGGCTGTAATGACAAAACGTGTAAGTGTAAAAAAAACTCTTTCATGACTCGTAAAGTCTACATCACGCATGGGTCAGCCTGTTGGCCGTCTCGCCGAAATCCTTTCCTAAGCCGAGCCAGCAGTGAGACATGACATCTAAGACGATAATATTTAACACAGAAGTTACTACTTAATAGTCATCACCATATTCACGATCGAAATGTAAACTTACTTCAGGCAGAGGTGGTTTCGGTCTAGGCGGTACGGCTATGGTGAGGCGCGTGGGCAAGCCGTCGGGTACAGTACCGTAGTGCTCGATCAGTCGCTCTAGAGATTCTAGGTACGGTCCATCGTCTATAAACAGCCAGTCGTTCTGCAAATACATCAGTGACCATAGCGTGAGTTTACAATAGCAGATGACCGCGTAAAATACGTCACAGTTTCGTTTGGCTAAATTTGTTAAATTCGCGCCTCTAGCGGTCAGAAGAAGAACTATACACGATAACTATCACACTGTATACTCATGTTGCCCTCCTTGTCATAACCTAGTTACATCGAGTACATAACCAGAAATGGAGACGAAATAAGAGCCATCCATCTCTGGCAACTCATCAGATAAATGGGCCTTATATGACTTTTAAATATCAACTCTTGTTTGCGCTGAAATCACAAATTAGAAAACTGAAATAGTACAGCACCAATAATTGCCCTGTGTGTATATCTCCGTATATTCCAAAAATATTCTGCATTTATTGTAATAAATATAATATCCCTAACAATGGGGACTTTTCCTTTCGGTAGTGTGGGAAAAACACCAAAACATCTAATTAAATATGTGATTTTGCAATTTTCGTCCATTATAGATAAGCTCAAGTTAAACTGGTCGTTTTGAAGTGAAACAATGGACGACACCCGTCAATTGTTTCGAATTCGGGCTGGCCAATCGGAGCGCAGTTATATAGTACTCGATGCCTAGTTATGACAACGAGGGCAAGTTAAAGGTTTGTTTGCCAGGTAAATGTCAACTTATTTTGCTTATGAATAAAACTCAAAATTAAAAAAACGATTATAGAGGTTTGTAGACCCCGTTTCACTGATCCCGGATATACGTTAATAACTCTATTTCGTTAAAAATATCGATTACGTTAGTTAAGGAGGTTAGGATGGTAGATACCCAGTAAGTACCTTTATCACGAATTTACGGTATAGAAATTTCTTTTAAAATTTTTAATTAGTCTTGTGACCGCAAGAGGCGCTGTTCAATTTGTCACACAAAACTACCCAGTGTTCTTGCGGTAGCTAGCAACTAAATAAAAATAAAAATGAAGTGGCGTTTCTTGGATACATAGTTATAGTTTTTCTTTCAATAAACGAATCTCTTTTACGTGACTAATGGCGTAGTTTACAATTTTGACACAAATTAATCAATTATGTTATAACATAAGTCATAAAATTCTGAACCGAAGTAAATATATTTACACATCCGGTATAACAAAGACATAATTGTGTATTGTAGAAGTTTGCATGACCGATTGAAGTAACTGTCCATTTCAATTTTGTTTTTTGCCACAACGTCTCTCTCGAGATATATTATGAATGTTACAGTCTTTGTTTTCCTAGTAAATTTACTTTAGGTTAGTTATGCTATAATTATCTTATTAAATGCACAATTAAGAAAATAACTTGTAGTAAAAAAATCATTATTAACATGCTTGAAAATGAAAAAGTTATTCCCTTTTATAGTTTCTGGCAAGAAATTACAAATTTTAAGTTAAAGTAGTATTCATTGCTGGTGTAGATTTGTTTTTTGTTAGATAACGTATCTTACCTCTTTTCTAATAATGTAGTTATAAGGATTATTTTCACTGAGCATGGTGAGCACATACGCGCCAGTATGTCTTTCGCTATATCTTACAAGGAAGACGCCTTCCGTGGCTTTGTCTTGCAAGTTGTGATGTTTGCAGTACTCCTGTAAGATCTTCACTGCTTCATCGCGGTTTAGTGTCCCGTGGTACCATTGGCTTTTTGACGTTTTCGGCGTTTCGGGTTTGTGATTCTCTGAATCAAAAAACTTATGTAATAATTTTTTTAAGATAGTGCGATTGTTTATTTGTGTGTATCTTGGCAGTGAAGCGTTGAAAAAAAAAAGACTGTCAAGTTAAAAGCCAAAGAAAATAAAACTGCAAAAATAACAATAATTTACTCGAGTATAATTCTTAATATAATGAACTCAAGTTCTCATACTTACTGAGTAACAGATAGCACTCTGTGTGACCGTAGTGTTTGGCAAGATCAGCGGGAGTGTCTTGCGCCAACGTCCTTGGATGGGCAGGCGCCTTTAACTTTAATAATACCTGCAGAAAACCAATCTAGGGGTACTACTCTACTCCTGATAACTTTCGTGGCAATATTATCTGTAGGTGAGATGGTAAAGGACCTCAGTCCATATTTTGGAATTTAGATGTTTTTTTACAAATCACGTAATGGTTAAAGACATTAAGTCCTATCGTCGTTGGTTTTTATTTAACATATTTTATTTGACCTTAAGATTGACTTCATTCTCTTAAATGCTCTTCGTAAAAATTATTATTTGGCACTAAAGCTTCTTTACCTTTCGCCTACAGAAGTTGATTTGGCGCTTCGCATAAAGAGGCAGTGAAAAAAAAATGCGTGAATTACCTTAATACAGTCCATGTGTCCCCTCTGTGCTGCATCATGCAGTGGCACTTTGCCGCTGGGCGCATGCCGCATCTGATAGTTTGCTTGGCCTTTCGTAATCAGGAGCTCTGTTGTGCTTGGCAAATTGTTCTGACATGTATACTGCGAGAACATAAATGTTATAATTATTAATATAAAGTTCGAACGCCAAGAAAAATTCCATCGTTCCGGTTGGGTTCGAATCCAGCTGGATCGATGGAATTTTTCTTAGAGTTCGATATAGCATATATTCAAGTTTATTACAAAATTTAATAAGCGTTTTGGTGAAGGAAAAAATCGTGATGAAACCTGCACGTCAAAGGTTTCCAACCCTCGGAAAACGTGTAAGTCCCAAGCGAGTTATTGGGACAGCGTGGCGGACAATGGCCAAAACCCTCATCTGAGAGGAAACCCGTGCAGCAGTGGGGCGTATAAATGGGGTGATGATGAACTTACATGCAAAGGCGTGAAGCCAAAAGAATCCCGCACGTTAATAGTGGCCCCGCTCTCGATAAGTTTCTCGAGAATCTTATCGCGGCCGGAGCGAGCGGCGATGTGAACCGCCGTCTGGCCATCTTGATTCTTCGCGTCGCGGTTACGGTACCCGCATGCTAGCAACTGGGAAACCACGTTCACGTCACCAGCTTCTGTCGCTCTGAAAAGAAAAATAAAATACAATACACCGCACGTTGACACCAATACAGTCACAAAACGATAGTCAACTCTCGTTTCTGAAAAAGATTTTAAATTTGAAAACGATATTTTAGGGACAGTATTGATTTCTCTGATAATTGCTCTGGCACATCAGTCTATAATTCAATAACAAATATTTACTTATTATTTCTATTATGTTTAATACCTAAGCCTAACATAAAAATAAAAGAATTTTATTGGGACATGCACCCTTAGACATCTTACCCAGAAGTTTGGCAATATTTCCCTTCTGGAAAGTTAAACTCATTTCTTTCACAGACTAAAACTTTCAAAGATTTATCGCAGATGGCGCTACGGCAAAAAGTCGTTAAAAAAAAGAAAAATTCGTAAGGTCGGCTGGTTCGTTCCGAAGCTCTGTAGGGACAACGTCAGGCACGGTATGCTGAAGGCACTGGTTCGAATCCTGCCGGATCGAAGGAATTTTTCTTAGTGTTCGATCTATGTATTAATAATTTTACTAAACTCATTATTTAGCAGAAGTAGCTACTAGCTCCTAAGGGAATCAGTTTTCATCACAATAGCCATAGAGCTACCACCGGCTGAGAGGTCGGCCGTGAATTTATCATAAAAAGATGGTTAACACACCTAGGTAATTTAAAATAGTAATAAAATAAAAAATGTTACTCTTCTAGTCGAGTCGTAATTATGAGTCATAAAATATAATAATGAGTCAAGTTTGCCAAACACAGATGGTGCTATATCTACCGAAACGATGATATTGTCAGACAAAACATTCTCAGCGTATGACTAATAAGTAATAACTCAAGTCCCACTTGAAATAAAATAGTACTTGTATTTAATAAGCATCGATCACTTAATGAGTTTTTCTATAATACGAATGCTATGAAATATCAATTCGATAAATGTTTTATTAATTATTATAATTATTTTGATATCAAGAAACGAGTGTCAAATCACAGATTTAAAAACATACTATATGCATTAGAATGTCTATGCATAGTTGAAGTTTCGAAAATTGTTACCCGTATATTTATTACGAAAGATAAGTTAAAAAAAACATATTTAACAGCCTATTACAGTCCACTGCTCGACATTAGCTTCCCCCTAATGTGCGCCATTTTGTGTTATGTCATTCATAAAAAAAAATTGCTTGAAACTTGTTACAAAAACGCTTTGTATTGCAAGCAACAACGACTTAAAAGTTACAACAAAATCAATAATAAGCGACGAACTCACTACATTTTTATTTTAACGTATAAAGGCAAGAGAATATAATTAAAAACGCAAGTAAATCTATGGTACAGTTAATTTCTTAATTAACAGCGCACTTTATTTAGTTTAATGTGAACAATAACATAATTGAATAACATCTTTGAGATTATAAAACAATCGTGCCATTGTGCGTTTTGTCAAACGTTATTTAATTATTGACTTTCAAAACCCTTTGCTAAGAGGAGGCCCATGCTCGACAGTACCAGTACAGATTCAAAATTTCTCACATTTAACAATACTGACTATACCTATAATACTAACGAAGGACTGTCTCCAAAGAACTCATATTTTTTACCATTCCATACCCCATAGTCAGATTACAGTTTGTATAAGAATTCATACATATAAAATTCCACACACAAGTAAACGAGGAACTCAGCTTCAAAGCTTCTCAAATTATTCACATATGAAATTGTAAATGAGTTGAACATATAAATGTTAATCCACTGACCACATGTTATGTTTGTTACATTTGGTATTCCAATCAATTGCTTACATCTAAGTCATCAAACATGAGAACAATTCCATAATTGATGTGTATCTAAGAGTAATATAACATTTACAACGGATGACAATGTAATGTAATCATATATATGGTCAAGACTGTCCCTCGAGATATTTATTGAATAAACATATTGAACAAAGCAATGGCAGGAAATCGTCAATAAACTTCAGTGTCGTATTACAGCAAACTATATACGCGTATTGAAACTGCTAACAGTGCAGTGTGGAAATGAAGTGTGGTGAATGAACTTGTTAACAAATATTATTTATGTGTCTATGAGTAACACTTGATAAAGAACCTTTAAGGAACTAAAGAACACATACATAACTACATATTAAATTGGGAACCTAATAAGTATGATAATTTGCACACTATTTAGTCATTCTTTGAATACCTAATTAGCGAAGATAGTACTTAACATTACAATGATAACCTTTATTACCCAAGTTCCTAGTTTAATGATATCATATAGTTGATCATGTAAAAACTAGTGGCCCAATATTGTTGATTGAAACAACAAAACACAAAGGAAAAATTAAGGGCAATTTGTGCAGCACTCATCTTAATAGAACTTCCTTCTTCATAGCGATAGTTTCTATTATTGGTCAGCATAGCATGAATCCCTTTAATTAGTAAATTAAATATTTTCAAGAAGCGACCATCCACAGGAAACGAAATTACTTAATACTATTGTACATAAGATAATAAATAAATATTAAATAAAAAGAAAATGTAAGATTGACAGAAGTTGTAACAACTTAAATGCTCTTTATTAAGATGAAAAGAAATTCATTAAGGTTTTAATGTAATTTACTTAAAATAGCATAACATAGTTCAAATAAATGTAAACATTATTCAATTATATAAATGTAAATTAAAGTGTAATATAAAAACATTACACTTCACACTTTCCACCTAAATAGATGTATGCCTCAAATAATCTCTATTTGTTGATAAAATTTTAAGGTTAATCATTCAATAATATATTTATGCAGGTGGGTTAATTTACACAAGTCTGGATAGAGCTATTTGCATAATTACATCTGGTTACCCTTTAAAGTAGCAGATGGTGTGGCTGGCCTAGTTAAGCTTAGAAGTTCTTACATATCAAAGAGGTTTGAAGAAGAAAGTATCAAAAAGAGCACAGGTTCCCAATTGGTTTGTCTCAAATGCCTTTTAGTATGTGTATGTGGAGTGACTATCTGTGACAGGTTGCTGGCATAGGATACAACAAGATGCAACCAGGCATATTGGGGGAGGCCAATAATGGACTGCAATAGGCAGATGATGATAATGAAGTGTCTTTCACACAACATAATTGTCATACCCATACATTGTGAAGGAACAAAATACTTTAATTTCTAGTCTAACTAGTTGTTCTCCTTAAGATAAGTCTTGTGTATCAAACTGCATCCATGGCCGAATGGTTACCATGCAAGTTTGCCATGCAGAGGTCCCAGGTACGATTCCCGGGCTGGGAGACATATTTGTATGGCCTATATTTATATATATTCTCTCGTGTGTTTGGGTGTAATTTGTGGTTGTCCAAGTGTCCATGGCACCTGCGGCACAGGGTTTCCCTAATGCGAGGCTATGTTGAGTGTGTGCATTACTATAATATATATTATTATTTATTTATTTGGTTATAGACAAGCAGCTTTCGCTGGTATGTCTACATCACACAGTGTTGAAATTTATATCGTTTGTTTTAGTTCACTTTTTAGCACTAATTCCCTCTTTTGTAGCCAGTAGTATTATTACTGTTATCTTGTCGATCTCGGTGGCCTAATGGTTTACATTGTTTATACTGGATGCAATAGATGAATACCTCCATCTTGGGTTCAATTTCCAGTAGGGATGGGAAATAATAAACTTTTTTAAATTGGTTTTGGTCTGGGAAGTGCCCCAGAGTAAATTCTATTGCTCTGGTACTTGCAATACAAGGATTCCCTAGTTTGAGACCAGGCGTGGTCATCTAGCATATTTTATTATTATTATATAGGGATATAATGTACCATTAACATCACTTCTGTCGTTCAGGTAAGAAAATTGAAGCTGTTTTAATCTAATATTATCATATCACAACTCACCGGTGCAACAAGTTAGTCGTCCCTTGTGTTCGTGATTCATGTGGTGGCGGAGAGCCTTTACAAATCACAGCAAGACGTGTCACTAGCCCATTAGAGTCTCCACGATAGTGCTGGATCAGTGTGTCAAGACCATGGACTGTGGTGTGCTCTTCAATTGAAAAGAATGCATCTTCACCATGCCGGCGTATTTGGTAGTGTACCACCTCACCCTAAAGAATTTAAGAAGTGAAATAGTGAGTGTTATAATTGCCATTATTTGTAAAAATATTCAAGTCATAATGTTATTTATGTAAATTTTTCAATATAAATAAAATTGATGTTCCATCCATTGTTATTATTCTAATTTATAATCTGATTTATGATAAATTGCGTACAACCGTTATGTGAGACTAGAGTGCATTGTAAAGGTGCTACATTGCAAAGAAAACTGAAAAATCAAGGTCTTTTCATAACCTATGTATAAGGATATAAATAAGCTGTTTACTAAGATTAATTACCTGAAATAGCACAGATAGAACATAGTCCCCAGGTGAGGTATTGCTCTCCCGAACCAGGAAAACACCATCCTCGCCCTCTAAAAACAAAAAAAAAACAAGTGACAATCTAAGATTATTCTAACAATAACAAAAGAGTACCACAATCAATCACCCACCTTCTTTTAAGAGGTTCTCAGCAGCTTCTCGTGATATTTTCCCATGGAACCAGTTTACGTTATCCTCTCTATTCATCCTCAACAAAAAAGAATTGGTCTGAAAAGTTAATTGGAAACTTATTCAACAAGTATCTCAGCATAGATGACCAAAAGTTTTCGTACGGCTTTCATTTCATATTACGAAAACAATCATAAGGGTTTTCACTGACTCTTCACGAAAAATACACAATTTAACGTCTAGCCAGTATCATGAAATGTGAATTTTCAATTATATTTATTGGAATTCCAGTAATTTTTTGAGATTTTTATGCGTAATCAAACTTTCAACGGGTATTGTTTACTCTTTCATTCTATGTTCTATTTCGTTCTAACTCGTGGCATATATGAACGAATACCCACACTGCTTGTTATTATAGCTATTACACGTTCTTTCTCGCTTTTAGAATATGAATTTACCACGTACAAAAAAGAGATAACAGGAAAATGTAGAGAAACTCTAAGATTTAGTCGCATAATACAGTAAACGTCAAATAATACAATAGTCAAATACGAAACTGATAAGATTTTTGGGATGACTCATACACTAAATCTGATTTATATAAATAACAAAAAAATAATTATTAATTTAAATAGAAAATAATATTTATATAATACACCTTACCTTAATTAATATGAATGACGTCATGGTTGTTATCATGATATCCAACTCTACAAACACAAAAATATTTACAATTGTTCAAAAGTGTCGAAATAAAATTTTCATGCGTTTTCTGCAGATACACATTTTTGTTTTGATTTTATTATGCTATTGTTGAGCACTATAAGTCGGATTAAAGTGGCGGTGAACGGAGCGAGTCTAGCGCGCAACCGGCAGACAGGCGCGGTATCCCCAACTCTGCCTTCCAACGAATGACTCATAGCAAGGTCAATTCCGAGAAATGAATCACCAGCACTCAGTTCCACAACGGAGTAAGTAGCGCGCATTCCCTCACAACTCGCTACATATTTCGTTGTTCCACTTTGTAAATAAACACGATTATTGGTAGCTAAATGCGTATACGTTGTTCAAATAAGCATCTACATAGATATTGTATTTTTAACACCAGTCGCTAACTAATCCAAACATTGATTATGTGGATTATTACTGCATACACGAGGTGCACATCGTCAAAATCAGTTTTAATATTTTTAATAATTTAGGTACTTCCTCATTTTTCCTTTCACTTTGTTTTTTTGAACCTTCGGTTCGGATTATTGCTCATATTACATATTGCTCGTTAATTCCCACTTTTTGTGAATACCATTAATACGTAGCGTACATTAGTGAAATTGCATTTAGTTTAAGTACTTATTTCGTGAAAAGGTGTAGTCATAGATGACCTATTGAAAGACTAAAGTTATCTGCTCTACCACCTAAATCTTTGAAGCACTGATCTGAGTGACTCAGATATTATGTTCTAAATTATAAGAAAGCAAGACATACATTCTGAAATATATCTGAATGCAGCCTAAGTATGTATTATTTTATGCTTCGGGCTGTGATTCACTTACAACCGAAGTTGTTTTATAAGCACATATTGTAATAAAAAAAAAATACAATCATACAACTATTGCCACTACTACCTACTATTGCTAATACAACTATTGCTATTACTAACTACTCCTAGAAAACTCCTATATACATAAGTGTGTGTATGTTATGTGTTAGCAAATCCACCTGCCCACAGCTCTTGTTATTGGTTGCTTCACATTATACCATTTTAGTAGCAGTAGAGCACCAGTGAAAGAGTTCGTCCATTGAGGTACTGTCACGTTACCTATTTCTGCCGCCAAGCGGTAACGTGTGCATTACTGCGTTCCGGATTTGAACGGTAAGGGAGCTGGTGAAATTACGGGCACATTATTGGACTTGTTAACATATTGTATGTCTCAGGGTGACGGGTGTGTGGCAGTGGCATTGCCCCTCAGATCTTTGGGATGTAAAACACTGAATGGCATTGCAACTGTTATGGACAGGCGTGTCGCTTACCACCAGGTGCATGATTGGTCGTCGCGTCACTTGGCATAAAAAAATCATTGTTTCTACGTGCATTGATAATTCTTTTTAAAACAACTGAATATGTATGTGCTTCGTAATTTGGTGGTATTATTATGTAATAATAATCCCACCACATTACGTCAAAATTACGAAATTTATGAATTAAGTATTACGTAAAATCAATAAACAAGTAATAAACTTAAGATCCAGTTGCACTTATTCGTAGGTTTTGTGAGACCGCACAGCCGATGACTCACAAGCAAGTACTTGAGCACTATACCTGCAAATTGCGCGCAAATGATACCTACTTATCTAGTATGAGCCTTGCAGTATAAGGGATTCACCACATTTACTTGAGCCGGTCAGAAAAACCTTTATATCGGTGTAATAAGAGTGAAAAGATCGTCTTACGCTTTAGCTCGGATCGCCGACGCGAAACGCACAACTTACTTTTACTACTCATTACGTAAACAAAAAGATTTTTCTGACCGGCTTAATGCGAGTCGATAAGTGTGGTGACTCCTTAACAGGTGTACTCCATAATATTTATCTTACATAAACCTTGAAAAGCATCTATGTAAGTTTGCGTTGACGAGAATCTAGTTTGTTCAAATGTTTACACTGCTTCAATTTATGTATATGTTTACCCCTTCTCCAAAAACGTCTCAAAGGAATTGAGTTTCTTCATAAAACGACATTTAACTCTTTGTCCATTTAAATGACGCTAAAGCTGAGATTTATAAAATGAACTTTGACTTCGACTCAAACATGGCGAGCTTATTATAAGCAAGTTTTTCGTATTTACAAAACGAACTTAAATTAAACTTTGAGTTTACTGTATACTGTATACTGTTGTGTTTGATTTCTTTCTGAAACTTAGGCAAAGTTCTTTATTTAAATACGAAAACATTGCTTAACTCGCCATTTTTGCTTAGTCGAAGATAGAGGTTTTATAAGTTTCATGTTCCATGTCTACCGCTACCGCTGTCTTCTGCATGTCTGTTACGCGAATCCGGCGGTCAAAAAATAAATAATGTGGCTGACAATCACACAATAACCTGGTTTTAAACAAGGGATTTGCCGTTACCATGAGCACTAGATTAATGAAATTAACCCAACTTCCTGAACACTAAGGTTATAACCTATTTAAACTTTTTTTCCTTAATTAAACCTACAGGAAAATGAATCCAGAACAATCTCATTTAGGTCTTCTCTTCATTTAATATAATATGACAAATCAATTATAAATATAAGAAGCACCAATCTATATTTAACACACAGGAACTAAAGTATTTTACATAACGTTCCCGTAACAGAGTATGTACGGTCATTAATAAAGATATTTTTTTTAATGTGTAAATATCGTATTTGGTCTCTTTGTTTTTCTACTGCCCTGGATATATTACATAATGATAATGACTAATGTAAGCAGGCGGAGGTGGACAATAAAAACCATATTTCTTGAACTAATCCAGGTACGATCGCTCCTTGCTCTAATCATCCAATTTCAGAAATTGACATTCCTTTCCCATTCCCAGCTAAGACGGTTCCATCTTCCAGCTGACTTTATTAGTCAATAATAATATAATGACAGTGTATATAATTGATTTTATTGTATATATTATGTATGTGGTATCGTATGTGCAGCTCGTGGACGAGTTACAATGAAACGACGTCCAATGCCCTCGTGTCCAATACAACAACGATTTTTAGGATGCTGTTGGGACCGCCACGCTCCTGCAGTGCATCAGGTACGTTGGCGGAAGCACGTACTGACAACTTCAGTCCGACAAAATGCAAGAGAACAGCCTTCCTGATACGTCGCGTGCGTGACAGTTCCACCGCCTCATGCGGTTGGTTTGAGAGTACCTTGCCCGTGATCTATTCAAGCACTGGAACATCACACAAGAATACACTTGAATTTCAGAGGCATGGTGTATAATTTAATGTAATTTTTTGTGACAACCTCTTTGCTAATATAGCCTATAAGTTTTCTCTACAATGTCTGAAATAAAGTTGTTAAATTTGAATATTATAATTAATTGTTTGATATTATACCCTTTACCATTTTTATTAAATTTTCTCTCAGGTAGGTATAGGCAATGTCTGAAATAAAATCGTTAAATTTGAATATTATTATTAATTGTTTGATATTATAGCTTTTACTATTATTATTACATTTTCTCTCCTGATCTTTGTTTGTTTAGTACATTTTAACAATATTAGGGGAAAAACATGAAATTGCCGTTCAAAGGTTTCTGAAATGAAAGTCTATAACATCTTAAGGCGTCAGAATAAATATTTGGTGATATTGAAAACAAACCTGGTAAGTGCTGAACTTATGTATTTTTAATACGATTTACGACGTGGCACTAGTACAGTCCTATGACTGGAAACATTGTTAATAAACCTGCATGAAGGGATTGCAACTAAGAAAGGTTTTTGGTTTGACCAATGTCGCATTGGCAATATTAGGTAATTTGGCAAATGAGCGCCGTGGACAGCCAGAGCTTAAAGTGAATAATGACAAGTTGCGAGCTATTGTCGAAGCCGTTTATCTCAAAGTACTACAACTCGCCGTGAAAGAGGAATTAGCAGCATGGTTTTATGTAACGATACAGACGCAAATGTGCCAAATTTTAACGCTTGCTGTGTTTTAATATAATGTATCAATATAGAGATGGGTGAGTTTTTTGACCATGTCACTAATAATACTAACTCACTAATAATTACTAATGATTGTCTCTAGGGCTCAACTATCTTAGGCTCTACTATATTGGGCTTGCCCAAACAGTGTCCACGAAAGAAACTTACCCTCCGAAAATTGTGGGTGTCTGTTTAGTTAACCAGTCGAGGAGCAATCTACCAGCATCATTAGATGTAGTATGACCATAACAGATGATATAGTGAAGAAATACAGACGATGATGGCTAGACTCACCGAGTAACGTCTCCACCTCACAGAATGTCTCATTTGATCTCTAACGAGAACTGATGACAGATTCGAACCGTGGACCTCGAAATTGAGAAGCAACCGTTCCCCCACCAGGTTATTACCGCTCTTTTAATACTGATAGTCTATATCAGAGGTTCCACAGTTTATAATAAGAATAAAATCCCGTAAAACAATCGAAAATTAGTTCTGGACGCTTGTGGAATCTGTGTCTCCATTATTTTATCGTAAGGTAAGCTTCCACCGTGATGGCAGACGTGTGTTCATAGTGTTGGTGCATATTTCGACTAAATGTTTTTTTTACTAAAATTTTGTTTTTGTATTTCTATTTTTGTTCGATTTCTTCTATATAGAGCGACAATTTCATAACTCAACTCCTATTATTTCCTTTTAATCAAAAATTCCTCAGCTGTAGCATAAAAAATATACATATTTGCAAAAAAAAAAATCGTTGGCTTAGACGCTATCTGCGAGGAGCGTAAAATTAATAAGAAAATGTAATTATATAATAACACGGGATATATCAATGTAGTAAATAGAATTCTAGTTAGTAGAGTACCTAATTAATCATAGAGTCTATTGTACAGTCACAATAGGTTTCAGATTCGCCGAAGCATAAATAATTATGCTAACGCAACTGTAAAATTGCCAGCATATTATGCAATATTAATTATGCCAAAATAAAGTCGTAACTCATCAGCTTGGAACAGAAATCTATTGAATGCAATGAATTGCCTCAGTAATCATTTAGAAAGGAAAGTGAGCGCAATAGTTCTACTGGACAAACCAGTTGCGATGTCTTCCAGTTTGTTTACCTCACGATGTTTGTTTATTTTGTTTTCGCCGGAACCTCCCGAGAACTTTGTTTTTAATAAAATAATGGTATT